CACCAGGCTCCCCTTTGTGCCCTTGTCCTGGGCACCCAGTGCAGATGTCCCCGTGTCCTGTGAGCTGCAGGGATGCCACAGAGCTGGGGGGCAGAGCCGAGGTGGAGCTGGGACAGAGCAGGGCCAGCCCCTGAGGCCACAGGGAAACTGAGGCACACTGGGGACTCCGGTAACACATCCTCCCCACCACCAGCACCCCATCCCTGGCCAGGAGCTGCTGAGGGGCAGCCAGGGGTCCTGGGGGGACAGGGTGGGATGGATAGACTTGGGGCACAAACAGAGCCTCATCCCTCCCCACTCCCCCTCCACATTTGGAGCCCCCAACACCCCCCTGCAATGAGGAAGCTGCAAAATTAGGTCGAAGCGTCCATTATTTAGTAGAAACAGAGGAGCTGGGGCCAGGAGCTGAGGCTGGGGCTGGAGCCCAGTCCCCACAGCCGTGGGGCAGGCAGAGACTGGGGGAACAGGGATGAAACAGGGGGGACAGGAGCCAGAGCTGAACCTAAAAGACTTTATTTCATGGCAGGAGATAAAGGGAGCCCCCCCCCTCCCTCCCCAGGAGTCCCTGCAACCCCTCTGCCACCACCAGCACCAGGACCCAGAACAGGGCTGGCACTGGGAAAATTCTGCCTGGAGCCAGAGTGGTCTGGAGGGTCTCAGAAGGCTCTGAAAGATTTGGGAGCAAACATGGTCCATGATTCATGAAAGGAGCAACACCAGACCTTTGGATCACACACCAGGGTGGCAAGGGGAGCCAGGAGCACCCACCACGCACTGCAAAGGGGCTGGGGGGGGATGCAGAGGGGTTGGGGGGTGTCCCAGCCTCCCACCTAAGCTCCTATAATGCAGAAATCACAATATAACATTAACAATATTATATTAAAAATCTCAATAAAAAGATCCCAGACTGACAGCAGAACTTGACAAATGTCCAAGACCTTGGGAGCCACTTCTCTGCTCTTGCCACAGCAGCAAAATCCCCCTTGGGGACATGGGGAGGGGGTTGCTGGGGGGTTAGTGCAGCCCCTGGGCCAGGATGCTGCCCACCAGCGCCGTGTCCTGCAGCCTGTGCTCCAGCGCTGCCTCCTCCAGCATCAGGGAAACCTGCGTGGGAGAACAGGGATGCTCAGCACTGTGCTGCCAGATCCTGCCCCAGTCCCACCACTGGATCGTGTCCCATCACCAGACCCTACCCCACCACCCCATGGTACCTTGGCCAGCCGGGCCTCCTTGGCCCTCTTGAGCTCGAGGACACCGCGGGACTCCAGAAGGGTGACAAGGGACAGACACTCGGCCTGGTCGACGGCGGGGAGCTGCTGCCGCCGGCACACCTGGCTGTAGGTGTCGTAGAGCTGGGGAAGGCAGGGGGGGTTACACCACAGCAAAGCACCCAAGAGACCCCCCAGGGACACCCACACCCTGCCCAGGTCCAGCCCTAAGAGGGTCCCACCGCCACTCACCTTCCCCAGGGTCACCTCGCGGGCGTGCGAGTGCCGGGCAAGCAGGAGCAGGGAGCAGAGCAGCATCTTCTGCTGCAGAGGGAAGGTGTCCTTGGCCCCCTGGGACCCCCTTGCCAGCCGGTCCCCAAACACCTCTGAGAGCACCCGGGAGATGTGCAGGAGCCCCACGCGCTTGGGGACAGGGGATGTTGGGGAGTCACCTGTGGGACAGAAAGAGGATCCCAGGGTGGTGGGTAAAAGGAGGTAGTACTGGAGAGAGGGGCTCCACAAAGGGAACCCAGAGGAGCCCCCCCAGGGTTTTGGCTTTGGCAGCAGTGACTCACCCCTGGGCAGTGGCTTGAGCAGGGTCTGGCCTCGCACCTCCAGCTCCACCACCTCCACGGCACGCCTGGGGAGGGACAGCCCTAAGTGCCAGGCAGAGCGGGCACCCCTGCCATGGGCACCCCTGGCACGAGCACCCTGGTGCAGGGAAGCCATGGAGACTCACAGGGACCAAGCTGGCCCTGGCACAAGCAGGTTTTGGGGCACACACTGACCTACAGACATCCAGGGCCTTGCGAGCATCACCGGAGACTGCAGAGACCTTGCGGGCACAGAACTGGAGAGCAGCAGAGTCCAGGACGGGGTCGCCTGCCACCTGTGAGGCACCAGGGCCATCAGTGCTGCCACCTGTGTGGACCCCATGTCCCTCCCTCTGTCCCCTCTGCGTCCCCACCTGCCCCAGCCGCTCCTGCAGGATGCGGGTGAGCTGCTCCTTGGTGTAGGGTGGGAAGTGCAGCAGCTGGGGGCTGCCGGCTGGGTGGGCTCCCAGCCTGGCCAGGCTCCTGTCTGTCAGGTCCAGGGCATTGGCCAACCCTGCAGGACAAGGGGAAGAGGAGGATGAGGGCTGTTCTCCAAGGAGGGAGCTGCAAAAGGAAGTCCCCATCAACCGCCCCAGAAGAGGGAGGGTGCCCAGGGCAGCAGTGCTACACACTGCACACTCACCTACAAGGACAAGCCTGGAGCCAGGCAGCTGGGGCCACTCAAAGAGGGTGTAGAGCACGTCCTGGCCTTTACTCTCCAACTGGTCCAGCTCATCCAGCACCAGGAGGCTGTGGGAGAGCCCAGATCAACCCCTGCTCTGTCCCCTCACAGCACTCAAAGCAGGGAGAGCAAAGCTGCTGCCAGCCTGCCTCTCCTGGCATCCAGGGGGATCCCACTCCACCCACCAGACACAGGGAACTCACACCATGGGGCCCTGGGCCGTCAGATGTTTCTCCAGGCTCCGGATACGCTCCCGGCCAGTGGCCGTGGGCAGCCCCAGGTGCTGTGCCAGGGCAGGGAAGACGCTCTGGGGGCTGCCCAGTGCCATGCAGTTCAGCACCACAGTCTTGCTCCTGGCCAGCTCATCCTGCTGGGAATGGGAATGTTAGACTGGCCCCCATCCCACTGCCCCCCAGCCCCCCAGTCATGGCCATGGGACAAACCTTGCAGTCGAGCAGAACACGGCTCAGACAGGCTGTTTTCCCAGTCCCAGGGGCTCCAGACACGTAGAGGCTGCCAGGACGGCGCCCCAGGACGTGTTCCCGCAGGAACTGCCGGAGGATCCCTGTCTCCCGCTCCCTGCCCTGGAGCTGGTCAGGCACGGCCGCATGCAGCACCTGCTTGGCCTGCTGGTAACAGGTACCTGCATGGGGAGCAAGAGGACTCAGGGAGGGATGTGGCACTGCTGGGACCCCATCCCAACTGATCATCACCCCCATCCATGTCCCCATCCCCATCCCTGCCTTCATATCTATCCCTAGCTGCACATACCCATCCCTATCCTGGGCTCTATCCCCCACCTCATCCCACCCCATCCTTTGTTCCACCCTCAACTCTACCCCTATCACCATCCCTATCCATATTCCCTATCCATATTCCCAATCCCTCTCCCACCCCTGCATCCCCATCCCATCCACAACCCCATGCCCAGCCCTGCCCACACTCACCTTCCTGCCTGAAGAGCCGGGTGCGTGGCTGCTGCCCGCTGAGCCCCGAGCTCCGAGGGGTCTCTGGCCCCCTGCTCCGTGGGGATGGCCCCGGGCCCTTGGGCTGCTCGGGGGAGGCCGAGGGGTCCCCAAAGAGCAGGCGACGGCCCTGGTTCTCCTTGCTGCGCTTGGCCGGGGAGCCAGGCAGGGCATGGAGGACATTGCACAGGTTGTCATCACCTGCAGGGGCAATAGGCTAATGGTGACACGGGGCCACTCTCCCTGTGGCTTTGTGCTTCAGCACCCCCAAAAACCCCGCAGGAGCAGCTCTTCCCGAAATGGGGGTGAAGCCACAAACGCAGCTGGACCAGAGCCAGATGGGGCTGGGTCCATCTGTCTGCCCCAGCCCCCCGGGGTGAGAAGAGGGATGCGCCCCCCGCCACTCTCGGGGGGTCCCGGCGGAGGCACTCACCCAGGCGTTTGCGGGGGCTCAGGGGTTGCACTTTGGGGCTCAGGGGCTGCGCTGTGGCCCGGCCTGAGTGTGTGTCCAGGGTGGCCTTTCCGGAGTCTGCGGGGCCCGAGGCCTTGGAACGCGGAGAAGGGCGCAGAGCAGGGGCGTCGGGGTGTCTCTTGGCCGAAGGGGTAGCAAGGCGGCGGGCGCTCCTCGTGCGGGGGAAGCCGATGGTGGGCTGGCTCTGCGGGCTGCTGCTGGCCATGGCGGGGGCTACGGGTGGAGGAGGAAAGCGGTCAGAGGGCGGGACCCCGGTCAGGTGAGAAAGACCGCCAGCCCCGCGGGTCCCGGTCACCCCCTGCCCCCCTAGTCCCAGTCCCCGCCGCGCTGCTTCCCATCTCTGTCCCCCATGTGCCACCAAGCCCCCTCAGGTCCCCTCCGGGTCACCCCCGCTGCCGCCACCAACCTTCTCGCGCCAAATAAGCCTCAGCTCTGCACTTCCCGCCACCAGGCTGAGCTGGCCCCGCCCCCTCCACCCCATTGGTTGCGCCGCTGCCGCCGCCGCCAATCGCCGCGGCCCGAGGAAGGGCCGCAACAGAACGGCCAATCAGCGAATGCACCCGAGGCACAGCGGAAATTGCCGAGCGCGGCCCGCGGGGCACGATGGGAGCTGTAGTCTGCATGCGGGTACTCTGAGCTCCCGGTACCCCCAGTGTTCCCACAGCCCGCACCCCCCCAGCCCAGCCTTCCCCGTACTCCCAGTGCCACCAGTTCGTCCTATACTGCCTTTCTACTGCTGTCCAGTCTTGTCTCTCCATGCTCCCAGTATTCCCCACGTTCCTCCCAGTGTTCCCCACCACGCTTTCCCCCATGCTCCCAATGCCCACACTGGCCCATCGCCCCTCCCCCAGCTCCCAGTACCCACTATCCTCCTTCCCAGTGATCCCATTAGTAACCCTGATCTTGCCTTCCTCCCGCCTCTGTGCTCCCACTACTCTCACCGTGTGCCGAAGTGCCCTGCCCCAGCCCTTGGGCCATCACCCCCATGAAAGAAAAGGGGTTCCTGAGGACCTCCCCCTTAGACAGTGTCCTTGACATCATGTATCACTTTATTACTTTTATTTAAATGTAATTTCCAGCTCGTCCAAATTCCTCTGTTCCCTTTTAAAAGGGCCCCTCACTCTCGGAGGGGCAGAACCGTGTTGAACCTATATTTAACCCAGAGGGCAGCGCTGGGGGGGCTCATTCTCCAGAGAAACCCCCCACTCACCCCTCACCCACCTCGCTCCAGCCTCAACAGGGGAAGATCCATCCTAGAAAAAAATCCCCTGAATGAGCCCCAAAGCCATCTGCAGGGGTGGCCCCCCTGCACCCCGTGCCCTTCCTGCTATGGTACAAAGAGATCAGTAACTACGTTAGTGTGACCCCCGCCACGGGAACACGGACAGTCCTGCCAGGACCACCCGTTGGACAGGGAGTGTAAGGCAAAACATCACCGGCCCCCAGGGCCCCCCCACGTACCCCCTGATGCGCCAGACCCAGCACAAACAGCCCCCCCATGTGATTAGTGTTTTCTTGTTAAAATGCTCAAGTTTGGGGGAGTCAGCAGTGAGAGCCAGGAGAACCCCAGGGGGGAGTGCCAGGGGAGCAGTGGTTTTGAGGGGGGCACATGGGGGTGCCGCCCCTGTGGGGTCAGAGGAAGGGGTTTGGGGTGTCCCTGCATGGTCCCAATCATGTTCCCCCCGCATCTCCACTGGCTCCTGTGCAAAAAAGCAATGGGTTGTGCCAGGACAACAAGGTTCCACCAGGATAACGAGGCTTTCCCAGGATAATGAGGTGCTGCTGGCCTGTCCCTGCTTCTCCTCGCTCTGGGGGTCTCACAGCATGTCCATTCCCTGCCTGACCCCAGCCTCTCTCCATGAGCCCCCCTGGTCCCAACAGCCGGCACATGGTTCAGCCTCAAGTCCCGTGCCCGGCTCCCAGGCAGATCCCGACCCAGGATCCATGAGGAGGAATGAGGGATGGACCCATCCAGGCTTGCCACGAGGTCACTGAGTCCTGGGGGATGCATAGATGAGGTGGGGCTGGCGGAGCACGCTGGACTGGGGGGATCCGCTTGTCCTGGGAAAACCGGAGAGGCTGGGAGCGTGTCATGCAGGATCCGTGGGGCTGGGAGCTGGGAGGGGTCCGGCTGAGGAAGGGGAAGGTGGTCCATGTCTCTGCTCTGGAACAATCCACCTGCACAGCCCGGTTTCACCTGGGGATGGGGGGCAGAGGGGGAGCTCCACGCGTAGCTGGAAGACAAGGAAGCCTGTTGGAAGCGGGAGCTCCGCAGAGCCGGATCCAGCACGTCTGCTTTCCCTCCTCCACACCCCCGCGCCAGCTGCCGGCCCCCCCCGACCTCCCCGCGGAGATCTGGAGCCTGGGATTTGCGCCTGGCAGCAGCCGCTGCAGCCGCACCGAGCTCGGGGCTTTTCAAACCCGCATTAAACATTCATGGCTCTAAAAATAAACGAGCATCCCATTCTCCCCGGAGTCTCCGCCGGGATCCGCAGCGCTGACGCGCAGCACCAAGGGCACTTTGAGCTCTGCTGGGTCCAAGTGCCGGTGCTTGGGGCCTATCCTGGGATATATGCAGGGTCTGCATCCCCCCAGCCCCCTGCCCAGCCTCTGCTGGGGTCCTTCGAGATCCCCTCTGGTACCAAAGGTGCTCAGCAAAGGCAGGAATGAGCCCTGTGGCATTTCCCAGCCGGAAAACCAGTAGCAGGTGGGAGAGGACATTCGCACAGCCCAAATTTCTGCCCCCCTCCACAGCACAGAGAGCTGCCTTCAGGGCTTGGTACTCCTGGGAATGGGGCTCAGAACCCCCAGAACACAGGCAAGACCCAGGGCACGGCCACTGCACCACCCACCCTGTGCAGGGACAAACAGGACAGTGCCAGCCCCAAGGGCACAGGAGGGGAGAGGGAATTTGGGACACCCCCTCCTCCTTCGCCTCACCTCTGTTTGTTTTGCTGGGGTAGATTCTCTGGAAGTATTTATATTCCTCTGGGGCTGGGAAGTCTTCAACGGGATGAAAGGAGTATTTGGATTCAAAGTCATCTGTGAAGAAATGGGAAAAGGGGCAGGTGAGGGAGGAGGCTCTGGGGGAGCCAGGCCAAAGCCACATGGCTCTGAGGGGGATCAGTGCGGGGGTCCCACTCACCCAGGAATGCTCTGACGGTGGAGATGGAGTCCCGGTGCCCGTTCCGCACGGGCGGCGGTGGTGGCGGAGGCCCGGCCGGGGTCCGGGTGGGTGGTGGTGGGGGCTTCCCCCGGCTGGGGGGCTCGGCAGGGCCGTGCAGTCTGTAGGGGGGTGGGGGCGGGGGGGCGTCGCGCCCTCCGTTCCGCAGCATCGGCGGGGGGGGCGGCGGAGCTGCAGGGACAGCGGGGTCAGCACAGCGCGACATTCCCGGGACAAACCCAGGGACATCCCCCAGAGCGTTTCGGGCCAGCTGCTGCGCCAGACCACGGCCCAGGGATGCTCCTACGCTTGCCTGGAGATTTCCTGCTTGCTCCTGACATCTGCATTCCTCATCCCTCCACCAGCTGCAGTGCAGGGACCAGCCAGCCCCGCTGCCCACCCCCAGCTCACCGCCTGCCCGGGGGGCTGCTCCAGCCCTGCATGCTCCCAGCCCACACTGGGCACAGGTCCCTCCGCACCAGAGGGGATTCCAGGAACAGCTACGATCCCGCAGATCCCCGAGTCTGAGGGCAGTGGCTCCATGTGGAGCCAAGATGCTGCCTGCCAGGACTGGAAGCCACATCTGCAGTGTCACCAAGGCAGTGACAGGACCCACAGCCCCCCTGACCCACCTCTCACTCCTGCCCAGCCTCCCGCAGAGGCTCCGTGGCAGTTCGTGCTCCTCATTAGCCTAATTACACCCAGGCTGACAGCACAGAATCCCAGCTGTAGCTCTGAGGAGGGATTCTGGCAGGGCCAGAAGGACGGAGCGGCTTGGCAGGGGCCCAGGCAGGAGCTGCGGTCTGGACGGGGAGCCCAGGAGTGCACGGGGGGGCACCGGGGCACAGCCAACACCAGTCCCAGCCACGGGGACACGCTCCCGAGGGCTGCACACCCAGGGAAAAGCTTCTCCCTGTCTGCCATAGCTTTTTGCTCCCTCCCAGTTACATTTAGGAAGCTCAGGGGAGCTGTGCTCTGCCACGTTCTCATCTCCCACCCCAGGAGAGTACAGGCAGGAGTTGCCCAGTCACAATCCACTGTCAGCACCAGGCTTGGAAGGAGCTGGATGGTCATGGAACATGACCAAGGACATGTGTTAAACACGGCACTGCAACTCCTGCCCCAGCTTGGTCCCTACACCACACAGGTGTAGTGCAGAAGATTCTCTGTGCCCCAAAGCCAACTCATGCCCATCACCTCCCACCAAGTCCTGATCACCCCAGCTGTCCCCAGGCACTGCGGAGCGAGTGGCTCTTACCTGCTCCACGGCTTGGGGGGTCTCTGGCCGGCGGTGGGGGGCGGCTGCTCTGCAGGGACGGGGAGACAGCAGTGGGTGGTGGCGGTGCCAGACCCCGCAGTGGGCCCGGTGCCTTCCTGTGCAAGGAGTTGTGTCTCTGCGGCAGCTCCGGAGCCGACTCGCTGCTGGGGCTGGAAGGGCCGTTGGGGACACCGGGGGGTTGCCGGTAAGGGGGAGGTGGTGGCGCGAGAGACTGGCCCTGAGCGCCCGACCGGAGACTGACTGGGGAAGGAGGGGGTTTGATGGGCGGTGGGGCAGGGGGTCCGTCCCTGCTGCCAGGCAGGCGCTGTCCCGGGGTGGGCGGCAGCGGCTTCTCCCGGTTGTAGGGCGAGGCCTTGGCGTGCGCTGGAGGGGGGGCCGGGGGGGCGGCGGCACGGCGTCCTGGCGGCGGGGGCGGCGGGGCCGAGGAGCTGTGCTTCATGCCGGTGCTGCCGGTGCTGCCGGGCCGGGACAGGTCAGGCAGGGAGGGCCTCTGAGTGCGCGGCAGCTCCGGCGGGGACCCCCGGCTGCTGTCGGCATCGTCCTGAGGGCGGCTGTTGCTGGCCGGCACGGGGGGCCTGGGAGCAGCTGCTCGGGAGCCAGGGACTTGCAGTGTTTGTTTAGTGGAGCTGTCTGTGGGGAAGGAGAGCACAGTGAGGGGTTGGGCACGACAAGGGAGCAGTGCCCTGTCCCTGCACAGAGCCATGGCAGAGGAGGGCCAGGCCACAGGGACGGCTGTCTGGCACAGGCAGGGAGCTGGCACCGAGCACAGCCACACACGGCTCCTCTCTCACCCCTCTACTCCGTGGCCACCACAGAGAACACAGAGTTCAGGAATACACAAAACTCCTGCATCCTCCAAGAGGTCTGTGTGTGGGACTGAAGCTCAGGGAGGGCACAGCTGGGATGTGATTTGGGGTCCTGCCTCTGAGCAGCTGAAATCCCCAGGGATACGCAGCGAGATCCTCAACCCCTTCCTGCTCAGGACCCTCCCCAGGGACCCCCACGCAGACCACAGGCCTGTGGCCATTACCTGAGCTGTCCTTGGCTCCCACAGGTCTGAGCTTGGGAACGCCGCCTTGGAAGAGGCCGCCCTTGGGCTGGATGGCGGCTGAGCCGGAGCTGTAGCTGCTGCCACCGCTGCCCTTGGGCTCTGAAAGGAGGGAGGCAAAGAGGTTAAGCCTGGAATTATCCGCTCCTCCAATGAGGAGCTGCTGGGAACCAGATGGGCAAGCACCCTGAAGGGCACGGCAGCGCCCAGCATGGGGCCGGGAGCCTCCTGGGGACTCACTTTCCAGGATGGGTGCACTCCGGTCATTGATTTGGGTCACTTTCCTGAGCTTGGTCCCTTTACAGATGTCCTGCAGGAGGGCCCCACGGCCCCGCTGCTCCTCTCGGCTCAGCTTCGGCGGTTCCGTGTTCGCCTGGAGAGGAGCAGCAGCTCAGCACCCCCCCGGCACAGGAACAGCCCAGCTCCACATTCCCACCTCCCGGAGCACCTCACCAGGGTGCAATTCCTCTGGCAAGCGGTCCAATGTGGGGACAGGCCACCTCCCTGCCCAGCGAGGTGACCCCTACCTGGCTGAGGGTGGGGGGCGGCGGGGGGCCGGGGGGCGGCGGCGGGGGAGGAGGGATCGGCATCCTGGCGGCTCCGGCTGCTCAGTGCTGGGGGCAGGCCTGGGCACTCATGCCTGCGGGAAGGGAGGAAGCGGTCAGGGAACGCGGGGAAAGCCGGCAGTGAAACACAGCCCCGGGGAGTTGTGCTGGTGCCCTGTGCCCGGAGCTCGTGCAGAGCAGCAGTTGGAGCTGCTCTCGCAGGCTGTCCCAACACCCTGGAGCAGCAGGTGAGAGAGGTGGGAGCCAGCATGCCCCCACTCCAAATCCCCAGGGCCCCCACAGCCCCTGGAGTCAAAACCCAGGACATGTCTCACACAACCACCTCGCTCGGCAGACAAAACGCGGCCAAGCTGATCCTGCACCATCCATCCAGCTCCTCCAGCTGCAGCCGGAGGCTGCTCACTTGGGAGTGTGACAGTAGCCCGCCAGCACTGGCACGTGGCCCCATGGCCTCTCCAGCCATGGCCAGGACAAATCTGCCAGATGGCTCCGGCCCCACAACAGCCAGAGCAGCACGGGACTGTCCTGTGGCTCCCATCCCTGAATTTCCCGACCTCTTTTCTCCTACATCAATAACCCCCAGCACTGAAGGCTCTCTGTGCCCCACAACTCCAAAGCCCCCTCAAAGCTGTCCGAGTAATCAGGGAAACCAGCTTTCCCAGCACGGATCTGGCCACACTCCAACTCAACTCATCAGAAGCCCAGAACGAACCTGTCTGGCACCACGGCTCACCTGGAACAGCTCCCGGGGCTCCGCGGGGCCCGGCAGCTCCGCTCGGCGCTGGAGACAGAACACAGAGGGAGTGGGGACAGGAAGAGGAGCCTGAATCACTGGGAGGTCACAGGCCCTCGTGCTGCTGACAGCAGGGCTCAGGTAGGGCCTCCCGTAGCACCGGCTCAGGGAATAGGAATGTGGTGACTGGAGGCCTTGCTCACCACATGGAGTTCCAGGCACTCGGGATAGACCCTGAGGCAGGGGACAAATGTCCCTCTCTGGGCCATGGATGTCCTTCCCACAGGAAAACCTATTCCACAGTCACTAACGGGAACCACAACACCAACAGGAGGAAAGGACAGGGCAGTTTCACACCTGAAACTTCCGATTTCCGAGCCCTGACCTCCAGGGCAGGTGACAGAGGGCATGGGAACAGCCCCCACCGCAGGGAAAGTTCCTTTATGACTCAGGTTTGTACCAGGTATGAACAACCAGATCCCTTTTCACACTCATCTCCTGCTAGATAAACTACAACTTCCTAATCCCACAGGACACAGGTCTATCCTCTGTCAGACATTCCCAAGGTGCAAGAATGGGAAGCAGGGAGCAGCAGCATGGCTGCCATAGCAGCGGCTCCCCTGCCCTCAGGCAAACCTCTGGCTCTGGGTTCAGGGAAATAAATAAATACCTAAACTGCCTTTTAATTAAAATCAGCTCTTCTACCCTGTGAGAACTCCTCAGCTACAGCTTCATCAGGAAGACATTCCTTCCTCTATCTTACAGCATTTTCCAAGTCACCAGAGACTCCCAGTTCCCCAGTGCCCTCCCATAACAAACGTGGTGCTCCTTCACCCCAGCCCGAGCTCAAGGCCTCACATCCAAGAGCCGACATCCATCGATCCCTCCGGACACTCCAGTCGGGAACAACGCCCAGCAAACCCATCCGGCCTGTGCCTTTCCCACTGGAGCAGGATCACAGACGGCTCTGAACGTGCTCGTCTGGGACGTGTTGGAACAGGAACACTTTTCCCTGTGCTCCTTCCCTTCCCACCTGCAGTGGGATCACAGGGCCGGGGTGGCACGAGTGGCTCCGGGCAGAGACCCAGCCGTGCTGGATCAGCTGCCGGAGGGAATTAGCAGGGATCCAGCTGAGGAACGCGCCAGGTAATGATACTCTTGACTTGGGCTCGTGTGTCACAGCCCTGAGCCAGCACAGGAGTGATGCCAGGGCCACCACCTCTGCTCCCGACCCACGGGAACGTCACACATTGTGTCCCCGCTCTGCTCCTGCGCCAGCTGGTTACTCCCAGGGTGACACTTCCCTCGGTGGCCCCTGTGACAGGGACACATGTCACAGACAGACAAACAGGGGTTTGTCAGCTGGCACAAACCATCCAGTGCCACCCGTGCCAGGCCAGCACTGCTGGGGTCTCTGAGTGTGACCTGCTGACACCCTGCGACAGGCTCCAGACAATCCACAGGGACCTGTAGGACAAGGAGGCTATTTCTACAAACAGATCACGAGTCACTATCTCCCCTCTAAGGTGCCCTTACAGCAAAACCTGCGCTCAGATCCAGGCTCTGACCTAGAAGAGCGAGAGGAAAGGAGAGAAGAGTTTAAGCTAAAGCAGCTTGAGGATAAACTGGAGCTGAATTCCCAAGAAACAGGTCATTCCATTTCAGCGCACGGCCCCGTTTGGGCTGGGGATTAACAGCAAAGGTCACATTGAAAAACCAAAATCGAGAGGCCCCAAACTCAGCACATGGCTGGGAAAAGCTAAAGAGCTCCGTGTGGGAACGGTGCCTTTGAAATACAGCCTGGATCTTTCATGTGCAAGAAGACAGACCCAGCTGATACAGATTAGGGAGACAGGAGCTAAATCCTCCAGGAAAAGAAAAAAGGGGGGGGGAGATCTCCTCCCAGCACCCCTTCATGCCTGGCAGAAGCTATCCCTGCGAACAATGCTCCGACTTCTCCACACTCCTTCTCCTTTGTTCTTCTTTACCAGGACCCTTCCACCAAGACACATCGGAGCCTCTGAGGGCTCCATATGCCATGGTGGCAGCTCCCTGTGCTCGCAGGGAAAGCGGCTGGGAAGAGCTGAATCCAGAGACACCAGCGGATAAAAGCTGGGCTGAGGCAGGAGGGGCAGGTTTACACAGTGCCTTTGCTTTTCCAATCCAAACCAAACCTCAGGAAAGCTCTGAGCAAAGCATGAGGAAAACAAGGTGTGAAAAGCTGTCCCTTGGGAGGAGGGAGAGATCAGGAGATCGAGGTCACCCTGTGGAAAGCTGCTTCAGAGCTGCTGCTCCACAGGCTGGAGCACACCACGGCCACAGACCCCTCTGCAGTGTTTCGGATCAGCACTTCCCTGCCAACCCTGGGATCAAAACATTACTAAATCCCAAGAACTTGACATTCAGCTGCCCCTTGTCCCTTAAAAGCAGCAGGATTGAGCAAATCTGGCCCAGCCACAGAGACACACCACATTTTCCAGGCATTTTTCAAGTCCCTGTTTGCTGTGGAGGGAATTGAAACGCTCTCCCCAGCAGCAGCCCCCATCCCGCTCATCCCGGGGGGATTGCTGCTGGAGCAGGACAGGCAGCAGCAGTGACCTTCAGCCGCCTATTTCCTCGCTTTTCAGGGGGATTTGGGCTCCGGGCGGATTTGTATTTCACATTTGCAAGCCCGAGCTGCAGCGCCTCATCCTCAGGGAGGCTTTGAACTGCAGATCAAGAGGAATTTCCACCCTCTGATGTCGGTGCAGAAATGCGGCCGCACCGGTTTGGGAACGACTTCCAAGGCTGGACCTCTCCAACACCCGCCCCCGCGCCTTTATCTTCCCTCTCTTCCCATCCAAACCCGCAGTTCCTCGTTACCCCCTCCCAAATTCCAACCCTGTCCTCCGCAGCCTGACATTCCTGCCCGCTCCCGAGGAGCTGAGGATGCTACATAAATAATTTATCCTGAGCGACAGCCATCGCAGGATTTAAGGTCATTCAGGCTTTTAAAATCCTATCAGCATGCTTCCCGAGCCGAGCTGCCAGCTCCATTTGGAGCATCCCGGGGAGCCGGCGCATCCCTGCGTGCAGACAGACAGACACGCTCCGGCCCCGCGGGATCCAGACGCTCCCTGTGAATTATTAACGATCCGCGGGCTCTGACGAGGCGTTTTTAACAAAACCCCGAACTCCAGAGTTTCTAACTCCTCAGGGACGAGCTCCACAGCCTCAGTTTCCCCATTCACTCACAGCTTCTACAACCTCAGTTTCCCTATCCATCCACAGCTTCCACATCCTCCGTTTTCCTCTCCAGAGTTTCCTCAGCCTCAATTTCCCTATCCACAGTTTCCCCGCCCTGGCTTTCCCCAACCATAGAACCCCCAGCTCAGTCTGTCCCTTGCTCCCATCTCATCTCAGGTCACTCAGCAGAGGAAACCTTTAATCAGGAGCAAGGAACCCTGTCCCGAAATTCCGCTGCAGCAAAGGGAAAAGCAGGAAAAGCCCGTCCTGCCAGGCCCGCAGCCTTCCCCGCCCGCCCCCTTTGCCGAAGAGGCAAAAGGAAGCCGGGAAGGGAGAGGTGGCACACGAGGGGCTGGGCAGGAACCGAGGGGCTGGGCAGGAACTGTTGAATTATTCCAGCGGGAGGAAGCGGCGGGAGACGAGAGGACTTCCCGGTTCCTTTGAGCCGGAGCTGGGAATTCCGGGTGCAGCGATCCTGACAGCAAACCCATCAGAGCAGGAGCCTGCAGTGGACACGTACTCCCGGTGCACCGGCCTCCCCATCCATGCTGCCTTCGGCACGGTGGTCAGGAAGGCTGCTGGACTGGGAGCAGGGAGTCCTGGATGCATTTCCCTGGAGCTGAAGGGACAACTCAACTCCAGCGTTGTCCAGAAAAGCTGTGGCTGCCTCATCCCTAGAATTGTTCCAGGTTGGACAGGGCTTGGAACAACCCCTTCCAGTGGAAGACGGGATTTAAGGTCATTTCCAACTCATGTCATTCCAGGATTACATGGAACTCTGTGTCCATGGTCATCCCTAAGCCACCACAGGCTCCAAAAGGTCTGGCCCCCCCTTCTCCTGTACCCCAAATAGGGTCCCCCCTCTCCCAATAGGCCCCAGTGCATCCCCAGCCCTTACTGGTTCTGGGCACCCACAGGGTAGGGGTCCAGGGAGTCAGTGTGAGGGTCCCACGGGTCACAGAGCAGGTCCAGGGGGATACTGGCAAGGGTGGAGGGGTCCTAAGGGTCATGGCAGGGGTCCCAGGCAGACACAAGGGTCACACTGGGGGTCCCTGGCCCATGGTCCTGCCCATTCTGGACAGCCCCAGACAGGTCTTGGGGAGGGGACGCTGAGGTGACTCAGGAGTCAGGGAGGAGGGGTCAATGGGGGCATGGTGGGGGTCTCAGAGCTCATAGAGGGAGTCCCAGGGGACACTCTGGGGTCAGTCTCCATGCTGGGGGTCCCTATGGTGGGATCCCAGGCACCTGGCCCCACCGTTTCTGGGCACCCCCAGCCTGGGGGTCAGGGGGCTCCTGGGGAGGGGTGGAAGAGTCCAGGGCATCAATATGGGGGTCTCAGAGGGGTGCCAGGAGTCACTGGGGGAGTCCCAGGCCCCCAGCCCTGTCAGCTCTGGAGACCCTTAGGTTGGGGGTCCTGGGGAGGGGTCCCTGAAGTCACCCAGGGGTCAGGGTGAAGGGGTCCAGGGGTCAGTGTAGGGATCTCAGGGCAGTCCTAGAGGACACCCTGGGGTCAGGGTGGAGGTCCCAGACCCCTGGCCCCGCTGGTTCCAGCCAACCCAAAGACAGGAGTCCAAGGAGGGATAGAGAAGTCCAGAAGGTCAGTGTGGGGATCCCAGGCCATGGTCCTGCCAGTTCCAGGCACACCCAGGATGGGGGAAGAAGGAGGGTCCTGGGGAGGGATCCCACACATAATCAAAGGGTCAGGCTGGACAGGTCAAGGACAGTACGGGGGTCTCAGTGGAGGTCCATGGGGGTGCTGGAGACGGCTCTCATAGGAGACCTAGAGGTCAGAGTGGGGGTCCCCATGGTGGTGGGGTCACAGGCCCCCAGACCCGCCTGTTCTGAGCACACCCAAGCTGGGGGTGCAGGGTAGTTCTGGGGAAGGGTCCCTGACGTGCCCCAGGGGTCAGGGGGGCGGGAGATCTCACAGGGGTCCCAGGGGTCAGGGTGGGGGGGTCCATGGGGGGGCTGCAGCCCCCCCCGGCCTCGCCGGTTCCTGGCACTCCACAGCCGGCCCCGCGGACCCCTCAGACGGCCCCAGGGACCCCTCAGACGGCGCCGAGGATCCTCAACCGGCCCCGGGCAGCCCCCAGATCCGCGCAGGCCTCAGCGCAACCCCCGCCCCGCCGGTCCCAGGCTCCGCACAGGCACCACACGCCCACCCCAAGCCACCACACCCCACTCAGGGGTCCCGCGGCCACAGTCGCGGCCCCGCGAGCCCCGGCCCGGCCCCGCCGATCCCCCCCGGCCCTCCCCCGCTCACCCGCGGCTCCTCCCGCCGCTCCCGGCCCCGGCCCCAGCCCCGCCGAACGAAATGGCGGGCGTGGCCCTTCTCCGCCTGCGCGACCGAACCGGATGTGGGCGGGGCACGGCGGGGCGGCAGCGCCATTATGAGGAGGTCGGATGGCCGTGAGAGAAGGGCCCGCCATCGCCATCTTGGGAAGGTCACGCTGGCTCTGTCGGCGCCCAGCGCCACGGCGTCCCGGTGATGGAAAGCAGAGCGGCACCAGCGAGAAGAAATCCCCCACTCTGTGCCGAAACGCTGCTGAAGGCCCGTGATGCCGCGACAGAGCGCGTCTACGCCGCCTGTCCCACCCCTTCCGCCATATTGAGAAGGTCAGCTGGCCCCACAGAAATCGCCATGTTGGGAGGGTTGACTGAGACCTTTTGTGGTCGCCATGTTTGGAAGGTCGAATATTGACTTCCTGCTTCCGCCATCTTGGGAAGG